CGGGCAGTCGTTCGCGATGCTGAAACGCAACTGGGGTGAGTTTGGTGGGCCTGTTTCGAGCAGAGTTTCGCACTCCACAAACAGAATTCCCCTCCGGTTCCCGCAGGTGAACAGTTGCTCGGGCAGTCGTTCGCGATGCTGAAATGCAACTGGGGTGAGTTTGGTGGGCCTTCTTGTTGGATTTGGATCTGTTTCGAGTAGAGTTTCGCACTCCATAAACAGAATTCCCCTCCAGTTCCCGCATGTTAACAGTTGTTCGGGTAGTCGTTCGCGATGCTGAAACGCAACTGGGGCAAGTGTTGGGGGCTTTGTGCTGGGGACCAGGGGTTAGAGAGGCGGAGTCTAGTGATCTCACAGCGTTGTCCGTCCATGATGCTGCCCGACGAATTCATCAAGTTCGGCGGCATCCAAACTTCTCATGAAGACTGAAAACTGATCTGAACAAGTGCGGATACCGGCGGACCAGGTGTGCGTGGACAGGGTGTGAAAAACTGCCGGCGATTTTCTCTAGTTCGCTCGATTCCGGATTTCGCACAAGCCTGAGCACGACGTGACGAACTGCAGATGCCGGCGAACTTGCCATGTGTTCATGTAGTCGATTGTCATATTCGTGCGCTGTTGGCATACCTTCGGTGTGCGTTCTTGTTAGATCGGCGCTTGTGAACTGCACAGTTCAGCAGTCAACAAACCGTCTCATAATCAGTGACTATCTTTATCATCGCTTGCTGTTAGCAGACCTCGCCAATTGCTTGCAAATTTGTTTACTTCGCCGAGATTCGAACTTCGTACAGATGCCTTTTTTCTAAGTTGATTTGGATGCCGATATCATTGATGTGCTACGACATGTGGGTCTGTGGAAAATGGACCTCTGTACTGGGGTGGGTAATTTATGTTATCCGTGTGTTCGGTTGTTTTTGTATCTTGTACCATTGCAGACACAATGTCGACGTCAAGAGGGGCAAGGAGCAACCGGCCGGGACCTCAAGGAGGGAATCGCAGACCTCCAAATCGTGGTCCTATCATGCGCATATCAAATGGTTCGTCGATTGGTGCTGCGAGGATGAGTCCCAGCTGACCAAACCTCCATGCGGTCCTGTTATATTCCTCGAAGACAAAAAAAGACTTAGGTTTCTTGGGGCGGTGGCCGGATGGCACCCTGCTAAAAAGGATAACACGCAACATTATAAGCTGCACACTATTTACAGTTCGAAGGGTGACGTTGTTGTCAATTCTAAATGGGCGGTTTTGTCTTTCGATTTGCTCCAGGGGTTTGGGGCGGGGGCTGTGAACACCCCTTTTTACCAAGATCTTGCTGTAGGAGGTGTTGATTTGGCACATGAGTTTTTCGACTTGGTGGAGCAGAGGAACATTGACCTGGAGGAACCCTGCAACGTTCAAGGCGACCAACAATTGTCGGTGCCGCTCCAGATGTGCACCGGGTTCGAATCCAGCGGTGCTCCCACGGAAGGGGGAGATTTGGGTTCCGGTCCTTCTTCGCAACTCGGTCGGGGCGAGGCCCGTGGTCGGTTCGACGACAACGACGACGAAGAACAGGAGCAGACGCGGCCTTCGCCGCTTAGGCGGGGGTACCGGTCTGTCCTGAGTATTCCTGGGTGGAAGGACACACCTCGATTCCCGACCGGCCGTCGACGTCAGCCGGGGGGGCAGAGGAGGGTGTGCAGCAGCCTGCGCATAAGAGGAGGGGAGGTCCTCAAGAAGAGGATGCAGGTTCCGCAAAGAAACATAAGGCAAGGACCCCCCAGACGACGGGGGGGAAAAGGAAGGGAGTTGAGGGGCAGGAGGGCACATCGGGTCGGAAATGCCCGACGTCGGTGCAGAAACAGCCTCGGCGAGGTGCTCTCGAGGTAAAGGGTCCCATCGACGTCACGCTGAGTACTTTCTGGAATGGAAAGACGGTGTGCGGACAAAGTGGGAGTTCTTCATTAGCCTATCGTAGGTCGTCAACATCGGTGACTGGGAACCATCGTACAACCAACGGTCGTTGGATCCTGTGCACACGCAGATCATCATTGACGCGATGACGATGGCGTTCTCGCAGGCCGAGAAGACGTACGAGTTGCCTACCCTCAAGCTGGCGCCACTAGGCCTGGAGAAACCGAAGTCGGGCGTGCGGGCTGATCGTCTGAAGGCAGAGGACTGGAAGGACGAGCTCGCAGACCAATACTATTATTACGCTGTTTCCGGCGAGCACAACGCGGCTGCTGCCAAGGCGCTGCTCGGCACGGACGTCGTATTGAGGTACAACTTCGACAGGTGGCCTGCACGTATGGTTTACTTCTCGGACGAGGAGTTTGAAGGGTATTTTCTGGTCAGCTCAGAGGACAATTTGAAGGACTTGAAGGCGCCTCCTAGACAGCTGAAACTATCAATGAAGGACATTCGGTGGCTGTGGAAAGAAAAGGGTTTCCCAAAGGCTGTTATGGGCAACCCCAGCGGCAAACAAGCTCAGGTGAAGACATGGCGTGAGTTCTGTTCGCAGGCGCTTCACAAAACGCCTTACTACCAGTTGTGGATTCTCGCTGATGAGAAGGGCGAGGACAGTATTAAGAAGCAGAACGCTGCCCTTTGCTCTTATTTTCCGTTGGTGATGGCTGGAAAAAGCGCGTGGGAGCTGGGTATGGAATTTTTCGAGAAATGGGAGATGGGGAGACTTCTGGCACCCGAGGGGGCGAGGTGGATCACAAAGAAAAGAAAAGTGAAGGGCGTCTGGCCCGGCGTTAGCCACATCGAAAACGACAAGTTGGGGCGAAAGGAGGTTGTCTACAACGTCCCCTTCGAGGCGCTCCAAAAGAAAGGAAAGAAGGAGAAAGAGCCTGGCGATTGGTTTGTCCAGGTCACCGAGCCAGATCCGCACTGCTGGAAGAGCATGGAAACCCTTACCGACAACGAGAAATGTCGGTTGCTCAAGAAGGTCTTCAACTGCGAGGTTTTGTGGGTGCAAACAGGCTCCGCATCGTTGGCGAAGCAAGGCAAGCCGGGAGTGCAAGAAGCAGTGCACCTGCTCAAGTGCGATCGCATCTTGGTGCGATTGTGGAACTACTATCAGTTTGTGCACGAGAACCGGTCGACTGTTGACTGGACACGTGTGTATCCCTTCCGGAAGAAGCGGGAGTCGATTTTGGCGGAGTTCGAGAAGCAAGGAATGGATGCCTCGTTGTGGGACGGGAGCAGGAAGCTCGTCGGTGACGCCTCGCTGTTCAAGGACTACCCGCAGGACATGGGGTGCGAGGACGACAAAACGATCAAGGCGACGGAAAAACTCACCCAAAACAAGAAGTTGTCCGCCGACTGGAAGAACGAGGTCCTCTCAGTGCTGACGGGCGGTAGGGTGAAGAGCATGGAGGTCGCGCTTGCTGAAGGCATGGTGCACGTTCTGTGGAAAGACTCAGGGGACGTGACATCGATTGCTCTGTTCGGCGTTGACCCTCTGGAGGCGCAGTTGAGGGTCACGGAGCTGGAGAAAGCGGTTGGGACCACCAAATGCCACACGTGCGTTCTCGATCTGTGCGAGCCGGTGGACTTCAAACAGTGGACGCCGAAAGCTTTTGAGAATTTAAATTCCCTCCTAGAGCAATTGTTTCCGTCACACTAGACGATCGTCGCTTTCGTCCCTCGGCAGTGGGATTACTCCTTCATGACCAGCCTGCGCCATCTGCCCGTTGTGAAGGCAATGGTAGGGAAGTGGGTAAGGAGGACGCAGCAGAAGAAAAGTTTCCCTGTGGGGAACAACTTGTACTCGGCTGACAACAGCATGTACATTCTCTTCAAAGGTGACGATTTGCGGGAGAATACATACGTCGTCTACGATGCTAGGTTGTCGTCAGATGACGCTGCGGCCGTCAGGGTGCATCAGAAAGTGACCCCGACAGACATATCGGGGACTCCCTTCGACCCTTGTGAGTGGTCGTCGGCCATGCCTGAAGTTGACAGAAAGGTGTACAAGGACATGGAGCGGAACCCCACACCATTGGCCCATCTGCTGGAATTTGTGTGCAAAAAGAGGGAGGGCGTCATGTTTCTCGGCAAGTCGCACGCGCGAGTAGTGTGGGAGGTTTTGAAGAGCGAGGTTTTGAAGAGCGGCCGACACGTGGTCGCGCTGGAAGGGAATTCTGAGTTGTTGCAATACACGTTGGAGTCCCTCAAAAGCGAGGTCAACTCTGGAGCCAGTCGTTGCGAGTTCGTTTCGAGGAGCGAGAAATCAACACGAGTTCGGGACCCGTCTACGAACATGTGGTTCAAGTTGATAGAGCGGAAGAGGAACAGGATCTACAAATTCCTCTTTTTGGAAACACGGCCCAGGACGGACAATGGCGTTGAGTACATGCGCCGCAAGGAACACATATTGGCATTGCTGGACAACTACCACGACGCCTCACGCAAGAACGAAAAGAACTTCCTCGACTTGCTGGAGTGTTTGTACTTCGTCGAGTCCGAGCAGGTGCTGAAGCTGGAGAGTTATGGTGCCTTGATCTCCACGGACGACGAGGCAGAGACAGGCGTTGTTTTCGACACCGCTACGCCGGAGGAGGACAGCGACAGCAAGGATATCGACATCGATTACCATCCTGCTCCGGTGTTTCATGCCCCTGGCTCCTCGTCAGCCGGTCCCTCAACAAGCCAGGCCACCTAGGCGTCGCCTGTGCTCACGTTCACCCAGGGTAAGACCCCGAGTAAGCTGGCGGCGAGACTGACGCCTCGGCCTGCCGCCCCGCCTCCATTGCGTCCCGGGAGTTCGGTTCCGCTGCATCATCCTTCTCGCAAGGATGCTGCCCTTCACTTCGAAGGGCTCGACCACACTCGATCGAGCGAGGCGGACTGGGGCCATGACATGATATGGCACCCGGGAATTATCCAGCCGGCAATCCAAAAGGGTGAGTGGGTCATGGCGCTCATCAGCGACCAAGGGTTGTGGGAGCCATACCCTCGCTAGTCGAAGGCGGAGTACCTGGAACTCGCGAGGATTTCGGTGCTCGACAAAGTGAGGTCTGCGAATCCCAACTTTCAACCCGCTGACCCGGCCATTGATTCCACTGCTGAACTTCTGTTTCAAGAACTTCAGGACAAGTAGTGGTTGGAACTCTCGAACGAATTCTACGACTTCGACACGAGCCCTTCGAAGGGACGGGTGGACTGGAAGGTTCGCCCTACGACCGGGCCACAGGGTAGTCCCGGGGGGGCGGGAGGCGGAG